TTCTTTTTTACTCCACGACCCAAACATATTTAGTTTGCTGTCAAAGAGGAATTTTAAAAAATCAGAAAACATTCACATTTAAGAATCACAGATTTTTATCTAGTATCCATCCATCCGTGGTCCTGGTTCCAGCTTGTTTCGTCACTTCGTTGTGTGATTGGTCGTAGACGCGTTAAACGACAAGCTGGTCGCCATAGCAACCATCTCCATCCTGGACTGCGATGTGAGCGTCCACAGATGTCTCCGTCACACACATGAACACACATGAATAAAGAAGTTTATCAATGAGCAGGAATTTGGGGCGAATCGCCTCCAGGCTGCCGGCTAACAATAGTGAAACGTGGTTGTTTCGGGGATACGGACAGTAAAGATGATGTTAGACCTCTGATCAGGGTTTGCACCGAGCACTGGGCGGAGCTGCCGTAAATCTGTTGGACTCCATGACTGGGTAGCTGTTGCTGAGTGCTGAGCAGCACATGGTTGGCTGCTAACCAGACCCTAAACATATTTACATGTTGTCTGGATGCCACGACTCTCTCGGTCCGGCCACCGTCGCTGCTCTGCTATCAAGCTCCACTGGAGTCTTTAAAGGTCCCCTATTGTTAAGCTCTTCAGCAAATTAATCTTGTAGGTCTTGCATGTCCCCTCAGGTTAAATACTGCAAAGATGGTTCATAACATGAGAACAAACAGAACAACCACAAAACACACAGGAGTGGGTTTTCACCATATGGGACCTTTAAAGTGGATCTAGTCTTATTTTTTTTCCACACACTCCTGCTATCTGCTTGTATGATTTTTGCCAGGCTTTGTCACATTCTTCGCAACTGAATGCACGAGGATACTTAATGAAACCTTTTTGTCTTCAAACCTGGCAGCTAGAGCTGTGCTATTGTCAGTTATATTGAGGCTGCAAAAGGTTTTAATAAGCAGGCAGAGAGGGCAAATTAGCCAATCAGATATTTCACTCAAGTAAAAGCATCAACATCACAGTGTAGGAACACTCTGCTGCAAGTAAAAAATCATCTGAAAACAGAAGCTTACTTAAACAAAGTAGTGAAATATACTTAAACTGGCTTCTTTCTTCTTTTCTTTTAACAACAAATGACCAGTTGTAGGCTATAATATAATACAGGATGAGCAGTAGTGATGTGTGTATTACTCTACAGCTAGAAAAGATGGAGCTAATTTCATTTATCGGAAATAATAGAGTGAAATGTACCCGAGGGACCAACAAAGCCTTATTTCTAACCAATAATAATATATCATTATGTAGAGATTGGTTATACTTTGAAGCATTAAATATATATTCATTAAAATCTGCAGAGTAACTAAGATGATCAAATAAATGTAGACAAAGTTCAATCCATTTCCTCAACCTGCACATTTTAAATATTGTGAATGTTCCAACAGCAATCAATAATTAATTCTAATGTTTAATGATACATCATGATCTGTTTCTTGATTACATTTTGAAATATGACATCTGCAAAGTAACGAGTAACTAAGATAGTCAGATAAATGTAGTGGAGTAGAAAGTGTATTTGCCTGTGAACTGCAGAACATGCTCGTCATCACGATGCCTGGTCAGTTGCGCCACCTGCTGGTCCGCAGGACGTATTGCTGGCGACGATGACGCCATCACGTCGTGATGTCACTGGACGCTGCGTTCAAGTGCTCCTCGGAGATTCACAACACAAGGAGTCACAAGACAGAAGAACTCATCTGTGCTGGAGCAAAATACAGTCCAAAAAAACCCCAACTCTTTTATCCCTCCTCCGTTAGGACAGTGATACGTATTCATGACTCACATTAAAAAAATAATCAAAATAAATCAAAACACACAGTTGTTTATGGATAAATAGTGAATAAATAAAACGAGAAAATTAAGCTATCAAATGGCTCCATCTGTGTTGCGTTATTTCTGAACCTGTTTAATTTGCGCATTAGAATGAAATGAAGAAACTGAATAAATAAAATAGAATGTCTTAGTTATTCCAATATCCAATGACTGCACTCTGACCACTGGGTGGCGCTGCTGTGCGTTCATACTGAGCTGAGAGGTGATCTGTGCAAGGTCAGCAAGTGACACAGTGAGAGAACTGAATGAATATGTCTCATTAGCTAAATGCCACTGATGTGGAAAAAATGGTGGGTTTTTGTTATCAGGATATTGAATACTGACAGATGTGGGGTTAATAACTGGAGTTTTTGCATCGTAAAATAAAACTGTATGAAGCTACCGTGCAGATGTCCTGAACAATTTTGGGGGGAGAATCAGTTTTAACACAATGACAAGAAGAGAAACCCTGAAGACGAGCTGAAGTCCATGAAACATATAGTGTCACGGCCTTTTACTGCTTTAACTCACTGGGGTTTCGTTGCTTTTTATTGACAAAAAGCCTACGTTGTGTGGAGTTTCTTTATTTTTTTTGGCTCCATATAGATTAATCAGCAAACATCAGTGCTTACTGCTTTGGTAAATCCTTCTAGCAAACTTTAAACACTTCCAAACCAACTTGAAAATCACTTTCACGTGTGCATTAATGGCTAAAAATGCTGTATAACACAATGTAAGGACTGGAGTCATACAGCACACCATCAGATATGACTGTGGTTGTGTTTTTCTTTTTACTGTTTATATAAAAGTCATTTGTAACCATTAAGGAAACTATAGGAAAAGAAGTGTTTGATGATGTTGACTGGATCATCAGAAAACTGTTTTAATTCTTAAGAAAATAACTCAAATCTATTTAGTCTCTGTGGGAATGATTGAACTTTTAGGTCTAATCAAGTCATCGGTATTTATGCTGCACATTTAAAACAACAGCTGTTACGCCAAAGTGCTTTCCAGTAATAGATTCTTAAAGATAACAGACTGAATCCTGAGCGGGCAGATGAAGTACGACAAACTCACATATTGTCTCTACAGGATCATCACAGCGCCGTAAAGAAGACTTGTTAAAACAACAGTCATATATTAAATAATTTTATTTATATAAAATACCAAAACATTTATTCAGCATCAAATTGAACGTAAAGTATGACACAGCAGGACACAGACTGCACATTGAACTCTGAGAATTTTAAATAAAGTAGAGGTGAAGGTTAAAAGAAAAAAAAAAAAAGGAAGGTAATGAACACAGAAACAGGCGACAGGCAGGTGAGCCTCAGTGGTAGTGACTGATTGTCTACAGCAGTCGATGTCCAGGGGTCCTCCAGGAGCCTCTAAAGGAACAACTAGTCTCATCAAAAGTAAAATAATGACACGTAATTAGAGAAAATAAGAGGGATTTGCTCACTGGCAGGTTTCAGTCAGTAAAGGTCCTCCTCTGTGGGGGTCCCTGGGTTAAAGTCCAACGGGGGTCCACGGCTTGATGTCTGTTTAATGAGGTTGCTGGTGTAAGCTGGGTCAACAGATGTGCACATCACCATCCAGTGATGCCGTTAAAAATCAAAAAGGTGGTTAAAATTCATCCTACCATTCATCCAAAATTCATTCCCGGAGACCACCAGAAAAAGTAAAGATAAAAACTCAAGGATATTTTCAGGAAACAAAAGGAAGAAAAGATCAAATCTTCACGTAACCTGCGTTTATATATTCTATTTGTTAGGCTGGCTTTATATTGAGGATGAATGTGTTTTATTCCCTGAACATTGTTTGCAACCCAAACCCTGACTTTGTCCACAAACATCCTCGTCCTCACTCTGTTTAAACCACGACGGACCAACTCAGGCCCTAAACGTCCATTTCACATTTAAAGTCTCAGACATCCAGGTCAGAGTCACTGTCTGTTATTGAGAGAAGAGTTTCTCCATCTGCGCGCTCTGCGCTCCCATCCGGACTGCAGTCTCCCCCACTTAGTGCACGCGCACCGTCGGGACACATCCGGTGGTGCTGCAACCTGAAAACAAAGAAAAAAGACGTTAAGAGTGAGAAAATTAGCCAAAGTTAGTGGATGACGTTCAGCACCCAAAAATAAAAACATTAAAATGAAATGAAATAAACATAAACGTTCAAATGGAAGACAGAGTATAATTCATAATTAAAATTAAATTAAAGTTTAACCTAAACAAACCGATGATACTGTCAAAGCTTAACAACAAATAAGCTCTAAATTCAAAAGGAAGCCTCGCCACTGCATGGTGAGCAATTTGCACCCATTCATGTCCGTTTTGCCTTCACCAGCAGGATGACTGACCCGCACACTGACCCTGAAGGAAATTATAGGCCGAGAAAGATGAAGACAAATCGACCAGGTCACCACACACAGAAGGAAAACAAAAATCTACAAGCTGAATGGTTGTGCGCTTTTACGCATGAATGGGCCTTTTACGCACAACCTTAGCTGCCTGTGGAGAAGTGCCTAACAAACTGACACATGTGAGTGACCAATAAAGACAAACAAGTTTTGAACATGTTGAGTAATTTTAAAGTTCTGATGTGCTGTAGACACTAAATGCCTCTCTCGAGTGCAATTCGTGCAACTCCCTGGTTCCGACTGTTCCACTCAATATGCAGCTTCGTTCTGTCCAGACTCACTGACCTGTTCTTGGCTGCTGCAGCTCGGTCTCTCTGTCTCCGGTTTTTGAACCAGTTCCCGACCTGAGTCGGTGTCAGTCCGGTGGCGTGTGCCAGCTCCCGCTTCTTTCCCGGGTTTGGGTACGGGTCCTGCAGGTACCATTCTCTCAGCAGCCCCCGAGTGCGCTCCTTAAAGCAGTGCGTCTTCTGCTCTCCGTCCCAGATGGTTCTCGGTAACGGAAACTTCTTCCTCACGCGGTACTTGTCCACGGGTCCGAGCGGCCGCCCCCGCAGCTTCTCTGCTTCCCGGTAATGAGCTTCGAGCCACATCGCCTGCAGTTTACCGTGCGACGCGCGCGTAAAGCGGTGCGTCTCCAGGATGTGGTAAAGCTCGCGGAAACTTCCCGTGTGGTACGCCACCACGGCGCGAGCCCGCTGAACGGACTCGTGCTCGGAGATGGAGTCGCGGCCGTCTGCGGTCACCGGGAGCGACCAGAGGAAACGGGCCAGCCGCTCGATGTCTCCGGTCTCCTCCAGAGTCTCGCACACGCTGGCGATCTGCGCCGCAGAGAAACACAGTCCCGGGAGAGCGAGAGGAGGGCAAGCGGCGGGAGGGTCGTCCGGGGACCGGGAACGAGGCAGGACAGGGGCCCCATCCGCAAAGTGCGGCAGGAGGAGGCGGGAAGCTGTGAAGAAATCGAGCGGCGATCTGAACACCATCTGGATCACGGAGTGAACCCAAACAAGAGACCAAGTGTGTTGCGAGGACAGTCTGACCGAAATCTGCTCCAGTCTGACTCTTTAGCTCACCTGGGAGTCAGGGAGGGACCCTCAATCTGACTCCTCATTGGACACCCTGCAGCTGATGCGGGGTTGTCATGACAGCGCTGTCAATCAAACACAGAGGATTTATCCTCTTTTATGGCCGAGCTGGACGCATGAAGTCTCCTCTGATCTGCCTTTGAAATGTGAACTATTTGTACCTTTTCTCCCCCTAAAGACTGAGGCTACATTACAGTGAATGGGATGGATGAAGACATATCAGGTAACAAACTCACATGAGTGCAAAATGACAAAAAATAAATAAATCTGGCAGCACTTTGTGTTTGGTCAGGTGCACTGTCAAAAATGAACGTTTTAAATAGTTTGTAACTGTATTTCCCCCCTACTTTGTTAAATTACCCATAAAATTACACCATTTTTGTACTATTTAAATCAGCCAGAACATTATTAGTTCACAGATATCTGCCGTTATATGACAGAAAAATCAGTTATATGAAGGGTTTTACAGATTTATCCTTGTATTGCTACATTACAAATAGTATTTGGTGAAATCACAGCCAAAATGCATCAACACACATGTTAATGGTGTAAATGAATGAATGAATGAATGAATGAATGAATGAATGAATGAATGAATGAATGAATGACCAAAACTCACATCAAAAACTGGCACTTCTACAAAAGGCAACTTGTTCTCTGATTGTACTTAAATTAGCTTAAAATATCCTGAACAGACACCTGCTGTTGGTTTTACAGTTTTAAAAGTGACCATTACAGTATTTCACCAGTTTTAAAACGTTTTTTTTGTTTTATTTTTTATTTTTTACAGTGTCTTTGTCAAATAACTAATATCTACTAACTAGTGTGTGATCCAGAAGCCTTCAGATAGATATACGCTATGAAAATGGATTCTTATTTTTTGTTTTTGGTATTTCGATTTAAATTTGAACGAGTTTAAGAGATGTTCAACAGAACACACAAACAGTGTCTTGGTCAAATAGAGGCTTGACAGATTTAAATGTTCGTCTTCAGAGGAGGAAAGTGGCCGTGTGTGAAGCTCAGCTCTGATGGTCTAAAAATCAAAACTAATAACGAGAACACCTCTTACACCGAGTTACGCAAGTTGTAATTCTGATGAGGAAACAAGGGGGGGAAAGTGTTTAAAAACGGAAGTGAAGTCTGCTAAAAACCTCGTAACCTCTCTGGTCCGGCCAGTAAGCCGCTTGCATCATGAATAGCGGTGATGCTGAGCGCACGCCGGTGTGATTGGAAATCTCATCCAGACCTGAAAGCGTATGTTTCTCTAAGTGGTCTCCAGCCACTCTAATCACTTTCTAATCACTTTTCTATTTTCTAATATCCATAAGTTCAGAGGTAAGCCGCGCTCCATCTCCATTCTGTTATGCTGGATTAGCATCGGGCCTATACAGCCTGCTGACATTAGTGTAATGGAGCAGCATATTCAATCAACATTAACACATTTTGGCTGCTCTGGACCATATGCTTCGGCGTGTGCCGCGCTTTGCACCACCGTGGGCGAGTGTTCCTCATGTTGTGTGGGGACATAAATCTGTTTAAACGGTCAATATGGGGAGATAAAAAGCAAGTTATGTAAATCATGAAATGCTAGCCTTCAGTCTTGGTTGAAGATAAGGATTGATCATGTTTAGTTTATGTTTAATGTGAGAATTCAGGAAGCGAAGGTGAGCCAGTGTGACTCTCTAAAGCTCCTCCGTGTTTACACTGAAATCAAACAATCCAAAACAACCAGAGACACTATTTTATACCTTTATCGCATCTTTTCTGCTGAAACACACACACGCTTCCAAATGCCCGTCGTGCAGATGTGTTGGGCGTGAAAAAGGGGGTCACCCAGCTTAAAAGGGTTAATGCCAATTACCCCGACAGACAGATGTCCCCGCGTGATGGTGTGAGGAGCCGTGTGCCAGTTTTTCACGCTGGCTGATGCATATGGTTCACGCTTGTCAAGGTAATCCCCAAATCAAATCAAAAACATGAATATACACACGCGCGCATTCGAATTGACCTTCTTAGAATTAAACTGTATGAAAGACAATTTAATAAATGCTGATTCTGTGGAGCTCGTCAGGACATTGTTTATCAAACAGCAGAAGCTCTCTGCTTTTTCTTTTTTAGACCAAAACCAAGACACGGGAGCCAGCTGAGGTCTTCAGGCTGTGCGTAGGTTGGTTTTGTCTCAGAATCTATACTAACCCACAGCAGCAGTGCTCATTGAGAGAAAAGGTTCATGTTCTCCTCACAGCTGTTGAGGGTTAATAAACATAGAAGTGGTCTAATTCGCAAGGTGGAAATTCACTTTGCTTTGTGCTGGATTGCATGTTTAGGGTGAAGATGAACAGATCACACAACTTCCCCTCCTACAGCTGTGCCAGTCACACGGTAGTGAGCATCTCGTGCTGCAACCTGAACTTTTTCCAACACATTGACTGAAATCTATAACCCTGAAAGCAGAAAGGAGGAATCCTCTCCTCCACAGACGTGTCTCCACTCCAGGCTAAGACTGCTTGGCCCACTGCTACATCAATTTGAGTAAAATATTGTGCGGACGGCGGAGAAATGTGTACAGAAAAGGAATAAACTCCTGTGGTGACTCTTACAGCACAGGCCTAATTTAAAAAGCTGAATGTAAAAGGTTTTTGCCGCCAAGAGAGCCGCTTCAGTGTCGGCTCTCTTCGCAAACATTCATCTCGAGACACTCGTCCCGCTCTACTCGAGATGCTTGAGTGTGTAGACGTTCGCGGCGTGTTGCAACAGCGCAACAATGCACGAACGCACACAGCGGTCTCTGAGCGACAGTCACGGCCAGAGCTCCTCCAAGTTTGAAAAGACGTTCTTCAAAATGGAAGCAGGACGGACATGCCAAACATACTCGAGGAAGGATACTCAAAGTGTGTGTGTGTGTGTGTTGTGGTGACAATTAAGTTAATTCAGCTACATCTCCATTCAGCCCCAGGACAATTATCAGAGGAGGGGGGGCAAGAGAAGGAAAAGCAGAGATGGCTAAAAAAAGAGGTTGGATGACACTTGCGGGGTGGCTGGAGAAACACAGCGAGCAGACAAAGTGAATGGCCTCTGCGTCTCCTTATCCGTCGTAAACAAAAGCCCTGCTCCTAATTAACCTCTCCACTGACCTCCACAACTTAACACTGACCTCTTAAGCCCTGAAAATTTAACCCCCTCAGCCGTCTCTTGGAAGAGCCCCCTAACACCCCCCCCACAAAGCCTCCTCCTCGTTAAGCCACTAATCACTTCCTGAGTCTTTGTTGTGCTTTTGTGCTCTTACAGGGCTGCAGGAGAGTCCGGCGCACAATGGCAACCCAAAAGAGGAAGGCGGGGCGGTGGGCGGTGGGGTCGATTGTAGCAGATTGAGGAGGATGAAAATAGGATGTGGAGAGAGTGGGAGGATGTACGTGCTAAGCTGCTGCTAAACTCTCCGAGTGTCTCTTAATCAACTGAGGAATAATTAGTTTATCAGCTGTTAGCCAGAGAAGGAACAATTACGATAATGAATCTATCATTTCAAGGAATATTTCTACATTTTGCCAAATATGCTGCTCATGCTAAGAATTAGATGAGATTCTTACATCGATTTAAGAAATATGTGGCTACAGCTAGCTTAGCTTAGCACAAAACCATCAAACAAGGGGAGCTTGTTGGTGGGTTAACAAAAGCCACAAACTAACATGTTGCATAAATTTGACCAAAAAACCCTGTAAAGTTGTGGTTTTACAGTACCTCTGCTTCTGGCCTTTGTGCTAAGCTAAGCTAACCTAGCTGCTGCGTGGCTGTAGCTTGATATTTGATGTAAGAGTGGCATCGATCTGCTCATCTAACGCTCTGCAAGAAAGCAAATAAGGGTTCCTAAAAATGGTTAATTATTCCTTACAGACATTAGCAAAGCAAAATGACGGTTTGAGCCCGTTAAAAATCCATCCATCATCTATACACCACTTAATCCTCACTAGGGTCATGGGGGGCTGGAGTCCATCCCAGCTGACGCAGGGTGAAGGCAGGTTCACCTGGACAGGTAACCAGTTAAAAATGTAAACTGTAAATTCAGCATCTTTCGGATAAAGTCATCTTGGGCGTTGCAGACATTTTACAGACTACAGGGTTCAGCAGTTAAATCTGAAGGCAGATTGCTGATATTTAGCCACTTAGCAAAGTTGCAAAGCTGCCATACACCAGATTGACCATCCCTCTTGCTTCCACTGTTCCGTTTTCTGCCTCGTGCAAAAAACACGAAAGCGTACGAGCACAGGTCCTCGTAGGACCAGCGTCGAGTGGATCGGTTCGAGCCACTTTTGCCCTTTTCAGACATGGACCCAGTTCCGTTAATCTGACGGCAGCTGAACATGTTGGCGTCACGTCTGAACGAGCGCCCCGGTCACTGGTCCGTAAAAGAATCTTTATGAGGTCAAACCAAGTAACGTTTCAGTTTCAGTTTCAACGCAGCCCAAGTTTGAACTGAGCCGTCACATTAATGGACAGACACGCACAAGAAATGGTGCTTTGAGTCGTGTGAAGTGGTTTAGGAAAGACTTCTTAACCACATTTCAGCACCAATATTCATCCAATTTCTCACTCACTTTACTACAATTTCAACTCTATTAGATTACAAAACAAAACGTCCACATTAATAAGGAATATGATCTTCTCCTACAGCAGGGATCTCCAGCTCCGGTCCTCGTGAGCTACTGTCCTGCAGGTTTTAGATGTTACTGAACACACCTGACTCACATTAATGGATCTCCAGCAGCTTGTTGTCAAGTTCTACACAAGTCTGTTAGTGATCCGGACCGGAGCTGGAGATCCGTGTCCTACAAGATGTTAACAGCAGCTGAAGTTGCTTCCAGCTGGTTAAGACTGTTTCCTCTGAGTTTATCAAATACCTG